TGCACAAAATTAAATGTAAATGAAGGGTGAGGATGGAGCGTGATGATATTATCAATAACATTCTGCTGCCATTTTYCTAAATTGTTTTCTCACTCTCTGGGGCTGTTTTTCCCTTTTCCCTGAGCTGTTCCTTGGCCCTGAAAATTCCTGAGCATCCCAATTTTCCCTCAGCCGTGAATTCCAACCAGGAGGAAACCCCTTGTTTTTAAAAATTCTCTTTGATCCAAACATCAATATTTCTGTTTGTGACAAGGTTTTCTGATCTAATTCTGTGGGGGAGAGCTTTTAGCTCAGCATGAGTGTGAGAAGATCGTGCCAACGTGTGAGCAGGGGCTTAGGGAAGGGCTCTGTCTCCAGTTCTGGGATTTCARTGGTCAAAAACCCCATTGGGGAGAGGAAAAATCAGTGGTTTTCCCTATGGAAAAGCCTTGTGGAATGTGAGGGTGAAACCAAGAGGGTGGAAKTGATCCTCTGCTGAAGCTCGGAGGGATTTGTTTAATGGTGAAGATTTTCCTGCTGAGGTTTGGGCCAATAAATCCAGAAAATCACCTTCTGCCCCTCTCAGGAGCGCTGCCCCCAAAGAGGGACATTCTCCAGGAATCCCAGTTGGAATCTTCCATGAAATTTCTCAGGAGTGCTGCCCACAAACAGAGATACTTTCTACGAATTCCACTTAGAATCCTCCATGAAATCTCTCCAGAAATAATATTTTCCCTTCTCAGGAGTGCTGTCCCCATACAGAGACATTCCCCAATAAAACCCAGATGAAACCCTCCACGATATCTCTCCATAAATCAAAATTTTCCCCTCAGGAGCGCTGCTCCCAAATAGAGATATTTTCCTTGAATCCCAGGTGAAACTCTCCATGAAATCTCTCCATAAATCACATTTTCGCCCTCTCCGGGAATAATCACAGAGCCCAAAGTGCTGCCCCCAAACAGAGCCATCCCCCACAAATCTCAGCTGGAATCCCCCGTGCAATCTCTCCAGAAATAATATTTTTCTCCTCTCAGGAGCACTGCCCAAAAACAGAGACATCCCCCACGAATCCCCCATGAAATCTCTCCATAAATCACATTCTTGCCCTCTCCAGGAGCAACCATGGAGCCCAAAGTGCTGCCCCCAAACAGAGACATCCCCCATAAAACCCAGATGAAATTCTCCACGAAATCTCTCCATAAATCCATATTTTCCCCTTCTCAGGAGCGCTGCCCTCAAACAGAGCCATCCCCCATGAATCCCCCATGAAATCTCTCAATAAATCACATTTTCGCCCTCTCCAGGAGGAACCATGGTGCCCAAAGTGCTGCCCCCAAACAGAGATATCCCCCACAAATCCCAGTTGGAATCCTCTATGCAATCTCTCCACAAATCACATTCTTGCCCTCTTCAGGAGCAACCATGGAGCCCAAAGTGCTGCCCCCAAATAGAGACACCCCCCACGAAATCTCTCCAAAAATTATATTTTTTCCCTCAGGAGTGCTGCCCCCAAACAGAGATATTTTCCACGAATCCCGGTTGGAATCCCCCATACAATCTCTCCATAAATCATAATTTCCCCTTCTCAGGAGCTCTGCCCCCAAACAGGGACATCCCCCACAAATCCCAGTTGGAATCCCCCATGCAATCTCTCCATAGATCACATTTTTCCCTTCTCAGGAGCGCTGCCCCCAAACAGAGACATCCCCCACGAATCCCCCATGAAATCTCTCCATAAATAATATTTTTTCTCACTCAGAAACCCCCAAACAGAGACATTCCCCACAAACCCCAGTTGAAACCCTCCATGAAATCCCAGTTGGAATTCCCCATGCAATCTCTCCATAAATCAAATTTTTCCCTTCTCAGGAGCGCTGCCCCCAAACAGAGACATCCCTCACAAATCCTCCATGAAATCTCTCCACAAATAATATTTTTTCTCACTCAGAAACCCCCAAACAGAGACATTCCCCACAAACCCCAGTTGAAACCCTCCATGAAATCTCTCCATGAATCACATTTTCACCCTCTCCAGGAGCAACCATGGAGCCCAAAGTGCTGCCCCCAAACAGAGACATCCGCCTTAAAACCCAGGTGAAACCCTCCATGCAATCTCTCCATAAATCATATTTTTCCTCATTCAGGAGCCCCCAAACAGAGACATCCCCCACAAATCCCACTTGGAATCCCCTATGCAATCTCTCCATAAATAGTATTTTTCTCCTCTCAGGGGCATTGTCCCCAAATAGAGACATCCCTCATAAAACTCACTTGGAATCCCCCATGCAATCTCTCCATAAATCACATTTTCGCCCTCTCCAGGAGCAACCATGGAGCCCAAAGTGCTGCCCCCAAACAGAGACATTCCCCACAAATCCCAGTTGGAATCCCCCATGCAATCTCTCCATAAATCACATTTTTCCTCCCTCAGGAGCCCCCAAACAGGGACATCCCCCACAAATCCCAGTTGGAATCCTCTATGCAATCTCTCCATAAATCACATTTTTCCTCCCTCAGGCACCCCCAAACAGAGCCATCCCCACATTAACCCTTTTCCCCCTCCTCCACAGCCTGAAGGCCGTGCTGATGGGGAAGCCCCAGGACAACACGGTGGATTTGTCGGGCATCCCGCTGAGCCTGAAGGACGTGGAGAGGGTGACCTCGTACCTGGAGCAGAGCTCGGAGCACATCTCCGCCGTGGAGCTGGGYTTCACCGAGCTGACGGACGAGCTGCTGCTGCAGCTGCTGCCCGCGCTCGGCCGCCTGCCCCGCCTCACCAGCCTGGCCCTCAACGGCAACCGCCTGACCAAAGCCGTGCTCAGGGACCTCACCGACACCCTCAAGGACCCCAAAAAGTTCCCCAGYGTCACCTGGATCGATCTGGGTAACAATGTGGACATCTTCTCGCTGCCGCAGCCTTTCCTGGTCAGCCTGAAGCGGCGCTGCCCCAAGCAGGGTAACCTGCCCACCATCCTGGAGTTTGGGGAGGGTCAGCACAGCGATTTGGAGGGGCAGGATGGATTTGGGGCCGGCCAGGAGGAGCTGAGGAGCCCAAGCCAGGCTGGCAGCACGGACTGGGAGGAGCAGATGGACAGAATGGACTCGGAGAAGGGCGCTGCCACACCACGGACATGATGCCCACCTTGAGCAGGGAGGGAGTCAAACCTCAGCTTTGTTCCCAATCCTGGCTGCTCCAGGGGTTCTCAGCTGCTGCCCCCCCCCCGTGCCATGGATTTTCAGTGATTTTCTTCACAGAGAATCCATCTGAGGGGTCCTGTGGAGTGTTTGTGTTTTGTAAAAAGCTGCCTGGGTGTTTTGAAGCGTTAATGCTGGGCCGGGCTTTTGGCTCCCTCAGAAATGTCCCCAAGGGGCTGCAGGACCTTGGAAGGGCAGGAGAAGGGAGCAGGGAAGGGATGGACACGTGAGGGACAGAGCAGCRTGATGGATGGAGAGCAGGCACCACAAAGAGAAAGAGCCCAGCAAAAACCTTCAGGCCCTTCCTGTCCTCACATCAGCAATCGCTGAGGAGGGGCCTGGCTGCTGGACACTACAAAATCTGCTCATACACAAACCTGGGACTGAAAATCTGCTCACACACAAAMCTGGGATTGAAAATCTGCTCATAGACAAAACTGGGATTGAAAATCTGCTCACACACTAATGTGGGATTGAAAATCTGCTCATACACAAAGCAGTGGTCAAAAATCTTCTCACACCCAAAGCAGGGCCCAAAAATCTGCTCCCACAGAAACCTGGGATTGAAAATCTGCTCATAAAAAAACTGGGATTGAAAATCTGCTCACAGAAACCTGGGATTGAAAATCTGCTCACACAGAAACCAGGTTCCAAAAATCTGCTCACACACAAACCAGGGGTCAAAAATCCACTCACACACAGACCAGG